TTGTAGATATATTTTACTCTGACGTAATGTTTGTAACCATCTGTTACACTATGTCATCTTATAACGATTACAATGAATAATTTCTCTATTTGTTGGGTATGTGCCTAATTGCATGTGACGTTCCGCAAAAATTTTAAAATAATTAGAGAATATTGTATTCTAGGTATTTCAGTCGTTGAATGTAATAATAAAACTCACTTAATGAATGATTCAACAATTAACACAATACGCCTTGCTCCGTTGGTCCGTTTTAGCTGCAAAAGTTATATTTTGAAAACAATCGTAAACACCGGAAAGAAGATGGTAGAAAATGGCCCAATCTACACAAGGGGAAATTACATATACAGGGTGTCTGCATAATTGTGCATATTGAGCATGAGTATGCATGTGTGAATCACATTTGACTTGGCTAAAACTTGCTACATATAACACACACACTCTCGCTCTATATATATCTATATATATGTATTTCTATATATAGATAGAGAGAGAGAGAGAGTTAAGGTGAGAGGTAAATTGAACAAGCTACCGACCAAAAGTGCATATGGCCTATGGTCTGGTATATCTCTAAAGATATTAATGTCCGAGGGGTTTTGAAAATTCCAGTTGTTTCTATGATTGTGGCCACACGTAGTCTTACTCTCTATTTATTTGAGAGAGGAATAATGGTGTTGGTGGAGGCTTAATTACATCCTACTGTTTATACAAACCTTCAAGTGGAAGTCATTTTCATGACACACCTACATCAAAAGTGCCAACTTTTCAAATGAAAAGGAAGAAAAAAAAAAAATAAAAGAAAATTTTGCATCAGTTTGTTTGAAGTAAAATATTTTTCAAAATTTTTAATTTTTAATTTTTTGGTGTTTAGTTGTTATAAAATATTTACGAAGGAAAAAAATATTAAAATTTAACAAAAATAATTTATCCATAAATTTTCGACAAGTTATTTTACATTTTTCGTTCGATGGACTCGACCTCAATTTCGACGTAAGTACCATTTGTCAAACATCGACAAAGTAAAAATAAAAGAATATTTTACCTAAAAAAGAAAAATATTTTCTAAAAAAAATATTTTACATTTAAACAAACGGAGCCTTAAATTTTTTTTATTTTTTATTTTTAAGTAAAAGGAAGATGATATTTATATTCGGGTTGCGTTTTACTATAATAATAATAAATGATATAATTGTTCTTAAAAAATACACTCAACAAACTCCACAATTATTATAAAATTAGTCTTATACTCCACCCTTGCTTGTGGGATAATTTTTTCATTTCATTTATTAAAAATTAATTCAAGTGATATGAAATTGAAATGCACTGTCGGTCGGCTAGCTTGTCTTGCCGGACAGCCGACAGGCCCTGAAAACTGAAAAACTCTACAGATTTTGGACTCTAAGATCTTGAATGCCTCTAGATTCATTTGTGAGCTTAAACCTTATGTAAAAACCTGTTCCAACTCACGTCAAACATAATATAACCGTCTCAAAATCTTTAATGTAAACATAGACTTTCAAAATGGTTCATTTTCATTCCAAGAAGTTTGAAGTGTGAATATTATTTCACTAAATGAAATTAGGAAATAAATTTTTTTTTTTTAAATGAAGATAAGAGAAATGATAGTTATGTCTTTTAATTTTTATTTTTAGAATTTCCCTTTTTTTTCTCATATTTTATTCCATCTTATTTTTCATATTAACAAAAAAAATATTGATTTTAATATATTTCTTTTACTAACGCGACATAAATTGACTTTCACAAATGAATTTGATGCAATCAACGTTCCTTCTAATTTTTATTATGTGAAAATTGTCTTGGAAGCATTTTTCACTTTTCTTTTATTAAAAAAAATGCACAATCCTTAATTCTATCTTTCTTATTGTCCTGTTAAAATTTATATTATCATGTATTATAATATAGAAAAAAAATCATATTCAAACTCCAAAAAAGAGTTTCTCATTCTCAACTCTTAAGAAGTGGACTGTGATTTTTATTTATTTTTATTTTCAGTATAAATATCACTTCCTTTTTATAAGTCTAATTTAGATAAATAATTTTTATGAACGTCCACGGTTTACATTCATAAGGTAGTGTCCATGATTATTGATTATGCACTATTAGACTAGGGTAGTTTTGACCTGTTTTGAAATACTTTCTTTTATTTTTCACAATATATGGTTGAAAAAGGTTTTTTTATAGGCTTGGCGGCTTGTGAAATATCTATGGGAGAGGGAAATGATGTTTTCTCACATGGGACTAAATTTCACATAATTGTGTAGCAGACCAACTGATATCCAGTATAAACAAAGCTAATGATTGCCTTGAAGGTGTGCGTATATATATAATTAGATATATACACATACACATACAATCATTCTATATATCTTAATGTTCTAGAAAGAAGATCGACTAATTTTATTGGTAAATAATTGGGTAGTACCATTTTTCTTAGGATTGGAAGAAATTACATATTATAAATAGTTCAATATTAAATTCGGGGTCACAAAATGAGTTTAAATGTGAAAAGTTAATAATGTTTTTATATTATTATAATATAATATATGACATTTTATATAAAGAAGGAGCAAAATTATCATTTTATAAAGTTTAATCGATGAGTTTGTAGAAAAGAAAGAAGTTAACGTTAGGAGTGTGACATGTGTCAATAAACACATGCTCATTAAATGCTAAATAATACACTCGTGGTTAATTTGTATTATACATTATTAGAGGGTGCTTATTTATCTCACATCGAATTCAAATAAAGAAAAATTTGACCATATGACCAAATATTTGACTTGTTATAAATGATATCAGAACCAAATTTAACTTATAATTAAGTATCACTGATCGTATTCAATATTTTTAAACTTTTGGATAAGTTATAACACCAACTCCATTAGGTGTGGAATTTTTTTTATTATTATTACCTTCTAATACAATGTATAGCTTGTGAATTTGTTTTTTTTTTTTTCTTTAAAAAAAGAAAATGGTCCCAAAGGCCGATAAGAGAAGAGAGAAAAACAAAGGTCGCTGTCAAACAATTGACACACGTTGCCAAAAACAAAGCAGACGTTGGTCGTATGTCGGCATGAGGTGTCCAGCTAGCAAATGGGACCACACTACTTGTGCGAGAGACACGATTCCGAATCCCCATTTTGACAGCTCACCACCAACTCATTAATACTTCTTTTTTTCCTTCCATAAATATATAATAAACCCCATTCCCCATTTTACCCTTATTCCCCCACTTTCTCTCTCTCTCTCTCTCTCGATTTTTACGATTTTCCGCGTGCCACGTCAGATTTAAGGTAAATGAGTCACGTGACAGACACGTCATGCCGTCATGTTTCGGTGGGACCCAGCTCAAACATGGAAACCTCCAGATAACATAATAAACACACTAATACATTTAGAAAAAAAAAAAAAAAAAACCCTCTTAAATTAAAATTAATATTTTTATTGATAAGGCATGTTTAAATCTCTAATTAATTTTGTATTTTAGAGTCTTAATGGAAACATGAAAATAAAACTATATGATTGTAAAATTGAGATAGAACATGCAATTAAAAAGTTGCTAATAATTGTAAGATTGAATTAATTTAAGATTACGCGTGAGGAAATCAGTCCCCTTAAAGTAATAATTATAACTTAAATAGTCAAACCTCATTTGAGTGAGAGGGATTTTTTGAATTCAAACATTTGAAATAATTTCTATTCAGTTTTAATCATTCAAAACTTTTTCATAATTGATGCCTTATAATTTAAGTTATTAGAGATGTTGTAACTTATTATTTTTTTTTTTTACATCTCTGGCACTTCTGATATTGCAAACTAGGGTTTGTTTTTTTAGGTTTGGTAGAATACTAAAATTTGTTTTCACAATACGTCGGTGAATTCATGAGGATTTGAGTTAATAAGCATTTAAATAATTAAAGACTGTGTAACATAGTGATATTTCTTTTACCTCTTCACATGAATAAAAATTTGAATTTTCAAATCAATCACTTTTGTTCAAAATAATGATAATAATAATAATAATAATTGGTTTACGGGTATTTTCATTTTTTTTTTTTTTTCGATAAATGGTAACTACAATGGGGTTCATAGTCATTTCACATTTGTAAAACATGTCACCAGATTTTGAGATGCTTAAATCAAAACTTTATCTGGAACCCACTTCTTGTGTTATGACCATACAAACTAAGTTCCATTCACGTTTCAGAAGACGTCACAAACAACTGTTTAATAAAAGGAGCTCAAAAGTGGAGAGACTATGAATTTGCTTTCTCTCTCTACAATTCTGTCTCAGTCAGGCCTCAACAAATTGAGCCTAAAGTGAAGTTTCTGGGATTTAAATTCAGCCCAATGGGCCACTTTATTATCCAAACAATGCGAGTGGGTCTAAATTAAAATCCAAGTCATACATATATTAATTCACTTAGTTTTTTAATCCTATAAAATGGAGGGGCAACTTTGAGGTTTTTTTTTTGGTTAAAAAGGGGCAACTTGAGTTGACTAACTCAAACATTTTAACTTACTTTTATGTATTTGGTTGCCCCCCATTCGCATATGCTTTAATGCATAGTACTTAGAGAAAATACCACTAAACTATAACTTTTAATCTATCGATTCTTAGTCGCTTTGGGATAGATAAAAAATTATAGTATACATGATCCTGGACAAATCATTAGTCGACACGCAAATAAATGTGTCAATTCAACTTTTTAACCTACAATTGGTTGGGACCATTAACCAATTGTCTCGGAACCATGTAATAATTTCTCAAAATTGAACACCAGAACAAACCTTCAGGTTTTGTGTTAACCTAATTCAACTTCTTTTGCTGACATGTCTACTAGTGATTGGTTGGGACCAATGGTCTTGGAACCATGTAATAATTTCTCGGGATGGCACACTGGCACAAAGCTTCAGGAACAAATGACCTTTGGATTGTGTGGAAGGTGCCAAAGCAACATATGAAGTCTAGTGACATATATTGAGCCATCCAGCTTTTGAGCATTAGAAACACAGTCCAATTGTCCGCTCCTCATAAAATTTCAATTACATTACATATCCATAATACAAACCAGTAGACGAGTGTCTCATGTTAAATTCCTAACATGATTAAATTACACATTCTTTCCTACATCAACCACTTACCATAAGAAACTTCTAAGGAAATAAATTACAAAATAAATATTCCAAGTTTTCAAAAGGTTCAAAAATAATACAACTCCATATGTCATAGATCTACAGTTGTTTGTAGAAGAGGATGTAAGCTTGGTCGTGTAATACCTTGCTTGTGGAAATGACAGTAACAGAAGCATCGTCATACCGCAGCCACTTGCCACTTGGGTGGCGGGAGTCGGCAGTATAATGCCCCTTTGACGGATCCCTTCCATGGTGAGTGATTGTTGCAACAAGTTCATATCTTCGTCCCTGAACCAGCAAAGGAAATGAATTTAGAATAGAAATTTAGCGCAATATACCATTTGCAATCCGACCAGTTATCCACAGGATGCTTTTCGTATGGAAGCGCTTCTTCTCTGAAGCGTCACAAAGACTAGTACCCGCACTATCATAGTAGAAAACAAATAGCGCCTCAAGCTCTATTTACAAAACAGTAAACAATGCTGTAAAAGGGTCTTTAAAATTCATTTGAAATAGACTTCAATGACTACCCAACAGTATGGCGAGTATTACTTTTGATAAACCTATTTCCAATTTTCTTCCCTAGTGTGTTTTCCCCTGGTAAGCAAGATTGAAATTTGTATCAAGAATAAACAACTCTAAAAACTACAAGGGGAATGCCGCTGAATACAAACAAACACTATGCAACAATTCTAACCACGCTCCTAACTATATATACAAGATACCATCTAGAAGTTGCACCAACAGCCGATCAAGTGCCGATTCTTAATGTAAATTTTCAACTTATGCAACTTGGTTCTTACCAAACCACCAAATCTCGGAACTTGGTTCTATCTACATCACAAATCTTAGTCAAGACACGACGGACATCCTTGTATGGATTTGTAAAATTCCAATCAATTCTCTTCTTCCACATGCAATACAATACTGCAATAAGCCAAAGACTATTGACTACATTTTGAACTGATTCCCTTTTCAGTGATCAGCTTCCCAAATTTTTTTTTTTTTTTCTCCCCCCTCTCCTCTCTCTCTCTTCTTTCTCTTTCTCTCTCAGCCGCCGTCTCCGCCACCGCTGATTCACCGCCGCCGTCATCCTTCGCACTCAGCCGCTGATCCGCCACTGCCGCCGTCGTCACTTCCAAAAATTAAAACAAAACCCATACATACAAGTTAGCAGTTGCAGAGAGAGAGGGGGGCAAGCTTGAGAGTTGAGAGACAGCGGCTGAAGCTTGCGAATGGCGAACCTGAACTGGAACAGTGGGCGATGGAAACTGAAAGATATGGGTTTCGATTTTTTGAACAATCTGAAATAATATGCCGATATGGGTTTTGAACTTTTGATTCTTGCAGACAGATCTGTAATATATGGGTTAGAAGTTCTCTTCTATAGAATCCATGATGGTGAAGGGGTCATTTGATTTCATTGGACTAGACTACTATACTACTAGATATGCAGCTAATGAACCTAATTGTACTAGGAAACCAAGTTACAGTACAGACTCTGGTTCTCCTTTATATATCCTTATATTTTTCAAACATGGTGCAGGCTGGTTCAGATTGGCTCTATGTTTATGAAAAAGGGATTTGGGATATTTTACTCTACACAAAGAGAAAGTACAATAACCCACTTGTTTATGTTACAGAGAAAGTACAATAGCCCACTTGCAGTTGCAGAGAAAGAGAGAGAGTTGAGAATGAGATCTGGAGGCGATTGGGGAGGCTGAAATGATTTGCCCTAAATTTTTTTTGTTTTTTTAATAATAATATAATCGCCCGGGGGGGGGGGGGTGTGTGTTTGGAACTCAACCCGTCAACCCGACCGGCCAGAAAATATTCGGACTAGATTTTGACCATAACCCATGTTAGGTACAATTCGGGTTGGCCCAACCCAACCCGATTCGGGTTAAGGTTGGGTTGGGCAGCCAAACTTGCAGCCCTAGTCCTACCAAAGAATCCACAAATCTGCATTGGCTGTTGCCACAAACTCGAGTATGTTAACCGTCAAAATATAAATGTTCACGAGATTCCGCAGAAAACATAATGAAGAGAAGGAATATAAAAAAAAAAAAAAATTTGCCTTGGGTACTTGGCCTTCCCAGAACAGCAAGCCACAATAAAAAGCTATGCCTAAACGCAGTTTGACAAAAAAGCCAAGTGGTACAAGCACATAGTAGAGTATTTTCCCCTATGGTTTCTAGGATCCAATCATCCAACAGGGCCAAACTTAGCATTTATGCATGTGAACCACTTCACCTCATCTTCACTTTGACAAATGGAAGGAGACCAATAGACATATCACTTTGCAGTTCCTACATGATGGCAATAGGCTACGCCCATTGATCTCCAGATATAATAGTTGCAAGTTGCAACTCCAGCTTTCCTACCTAGATCAGCATCTTCTATTCTCCTCTCTCCATTTTTCTGTACGTTAGAACTAGAGAGTGCCAGTTACCAAACCAAAGGAACTCCTCCCTATAACCAACTGAAATCTTAACACCATGGTCTCTCTTAGCCTATTTAGTTTCCTCCAACTCCATGAACATTTTTGAGGTATTTATATCCCAGTAACTTCTAACCTTTAACAGATAAGTTTGCACTCAACTGCCCCATATAGAATCCCCCTTTTTAGTCAGATGGTACCAACCCACCTAAACATCATAGCCTTGTTCCATTTTGTTAAATCCTTCATCCCTAATCCCCCTTTTCAGGAGTTTATCTAATATTCCAAACAATCTTTGCTCCTGTGTTTTCAACTCTGCTAAAGTCCAAAAAATAGCTCTTAAAGTCTGCTCAAGCCTCAATCTGCTACAGGACCATCACTGGAAAGATGAAAAAGTTTTCCCAAGAAGCTGAACACCACATAGCAGACTTTATCAACTGCAGCGTCTTGCATCTAACAGGAACTTACTTAACAAGACTGAATTCTTCCCAAAAATTTTAGCAGTAAAACCTTTAAATTTTTAGATATTAGGGACATGCCTAGATATTTTATAGGCCTCTCAAAACCCCAAGCCACTTTTAATAACATTACTCTCAGTTTCATCCATGCCTATGATAACAATTTGCTCTTGTTCTGATCAGCTTCCAGGTCAAGCAACACAAAATTCATCTAGAGCAGCTTTTAAGCCAAAATTGAGCAGTGATCAGTCACCATCATAGAACACCAAAAAATTATTTCCAAAATGCAAATTCCCAATGATATTTAAAGTCCTCCGCTTCCTCCTTTTTCCTTACCAACTAAAGATGATACATTTATTACACCCGAAAAAGTTAGGGGATTTTGGATCCCCTAGTATCAAATCTTTAGCATTTGAAAAGTATCCCACTAGATCTCGATTAAGACAGAAAACATTGAAGCAATACATGCTCTACCCATTGAATCCATCTTCCTAAAAATCCCAAAAGCTGCAGGGTATCCATCAGAAAACACCAAAAACATGAATAAAGCCTTAATTAGTTCAAATTTCCTAATTCATTTACATTGCTTACCCTCTCCATGATAGTTCCTCAACAGTTCTTAAGCCACAAACACTATACCCAATCATCAGACCAAGAATAAAGGCAGTCGGGTCCTTCTCAATTAAAACTGGCAACACCTTTTAGAGTCTGTTGGCTAGTATCTTCAAGATAAAATTGTAGAGGGTATTACAAGCTATGAGCCAAACTAAAGTTTGCCGTAATTGTAAAATTAGGAATTTCAGGAAGCAAGGCAAAAAGCTGTAACATTAATTTCTCTTAATAGCCTTCCATTCACAAAGAAATCTTTAATTGCTTCCAAACTGTCCTTTCCTATAATGTGCTAAATTTTCTTATAGAAGTAGACATAATACTGATCAGGATTTGGAGCCTTAAGTCATCACGAGAGAACAGAATATTACAATTTCTTCATAAATCTCACTATCAGGGGTCACCACTTGGGGCAATGGTAAAAGATGATACTGACGAGGCTTGAGAATGTAGGTTCCTGTTAGCAGATATGATAGCCATGATTTATAGAATGACTTACCATATTAGCAAAGATTTGATTATGCTATATAATATGCCATATAATATGCTATGATTTAATTTAGATTTGATTTAATTTTCGTTCTTATAATACAAGCATGTGCTCTTTTTATCTATAAATACTAGACTTGTAAATGGGTGATTATCTCATTCAAGCCTTTACACAATTCTCCAATTTTTCTTTTTTTTATATTGTATTTCTACTTAATATTAGAGCCAGGGTGGTTCGACTGTAATGAGGGCATTGCAAGTTCAGCACCACCCATTCGGGAATGGTCTAAGGTGACATCGCCCATCCGGAAGGTGTCGGGTAGGCAGGGTGGTCCGACCTCAATGAGGGCGTTGCGAGTTTGGCACCTCCCATTCAGAAATGGTCCGAGGAGATATAGTTTTTTTCTTTTTATGGTTTGAGGAGACATTGTTGATTCTTTCATTTACATTGTTTAAACATATGTATGAAGGAGAATGGTCCAAGGAGACATTGTTGATTCTTCTATCTACATGTTTTAAACATGTGTATGAAGGGAAATAGTCTAAGGAGACATTGTTGGTTGTTTACGGTTGAGGAGACATGATTGGTTGTTTATGGTCTGAGGAGACATTGTTTATTGTTTATGGTCTAAGGAGACATTTTTTATTTGTTGATCGGCACTTCATCTGAGAGAAAATCATCACTAGTCAGATTTTCACTCCATTTATCACAAGCTCTTAGTAGCTTGCAGACATCTTACAAAGGGTGTCAACAAGATTGTGTTTGAGAATGCATTGTCCAAGTTGGACTTTTCAGATATCTACGCACCAATTTGAGGGGGAGTGTTAGCAGCTATAATAGCCACGATTTATGGAATGACTTACCGTATTAGCAGAGATTTGATTACGCTATATAATATGCTATAAAAAATGCCATAAAATATGCTATGATTTGATTTAATTTCTTTTCTTGTAATACGAGCATATGCTCTTTTTATCTATAAATACTAGAACTGTGAATGGGTGATTATCTCATTCAAGCATTTACACAATTCTCCCATTTTTCTTCTTTTTATTTTTCTATTGTTCTAGTATGAGACGATAATTGTGCAAATAATGCCAAAAAGTAGGCCACCCAGTGTGCCCCTTGCAACGTCCTTGACCAAGAGAATGTAGGTTCCAATTCCAATTCCAGTTCCAGTTCCAGTTCCAGTGTGAGACAATAATTGTGTGAATAATGCAAAAAATTAGGCCACCTGATGTGCCCTTCACAACATCCTTGACTGATGGAAATTTATATTCCTCCTACCATT